TCGTCGAATCCGAAGTGGTCGGTAATGTTCCGCCACGGCTTCTTGATGTGGATCCTTTTCTTCGTCTTGAGTTTGAACGCGCAGCCGTCGAAGTCCACGACGCGCGGGAGCTGCTCCTTCAGCTGCTCGGCAGTCGCGTTCTTGTTGGGGTCCCATCCGTCGCAGTACCTCGGCCACTCGAACGAGACGGGGAGCTGGGCGCCGAACTCCTTGCGCAGCCGTGACATCGACTGCAGGAACAGGCCGATCATCTGCTTGGACTTGGCCCCATCCCTTTTTAACTTTGGGATGTTGCTCGGGTCGATCTTGACGACGAATCGTTGTAGCGATGTCCATGGCTGGCAAGGAAACGCAGCGTGAATTCGCGCGCTCTTGTCTGCGGCACGGTTCTTCCGGATCCTGCCCTCCAGCTCCTGGACCAGGAACTGCTTGGAGAGGTCGAAGCCTGGAAGACCGCACCTGACAGCAGCTCCTCCTTTCTTCCTCCAGACGGTGCTGACCTTGCTGCCTGGGCTGCAGCGCCCCTCGTAGAGCGCGGTGCCTTTCGCTGTAGTGGTCGGGCTGGATCTGGTTGTAGACTTGGCCAGGTTAGTGATCAAGGCCTGGCCGATCTTGTGCGGCTGAATGCTGCTCTTGCTGGTGACGAAGGCTGAGCGCTTGCCGGCGGTCAGCTGCGGCTTCGCCCCTCCTTGGGCGCCCTCGCGCCGAGCTGCTCCTCCTCCACTATGTTGGCCTCGGATCTGAAGCAGCCGTTGGCGATGGCGTCCGGGCCGTAACTCAAGACTACAGGCGTGCCGAAAACGCAGTCCGAGCAGAAACCTTGGTGGCTGCAGGCCTCGAAGGTCGTCTCGCCACAGGCGATGCAGTCCTGCAGGGGCTCGGTCACGCACGTCGTGGGGTAGGTCGTCTGCGGCAGCGTCGCTGGCGTGAGGTTCGGAGCTGGAGCTGCGCTGGGGCAGCGGACCAGGGCTGAGGCTACGTCCGAAAGCAGCCTCGGCCCCTTCGGTCGGCGAGTCTGGAGGCGCCTCGGAACCTTCAGCTCCTTCTTCGTGACGAGGTTGTTGATGGTGTCGATCAGCGCGCTGGTCCTGATAGCGTTGTTGGCCGTAGGCTGGTCGCCCGCCCTCATCTTTCGATCCCGTCGGTCGAGCGCTTTCTTGGCCTCTACGTATAGGGTCTTGCCCAGCTGTCGCTTCCTTCCGGACGAGGTGGCCGCGCTGAGCGGTTGCTCTATGCCGGCGTCTATGAAGGCCTGCCAGTCTTCTGGCTGCAACTTAATTGCGGGGTGGCCCGCGGCGCTTGTGGTGAGGTTCTGGGTGGTGTTCCCGATGCGGATCTGGCCCTTCCAGAGAGAGAGATGTCGATCTTGGAAGGCTGGATGAAGTCGCGGCCGATGAGCAGGCCAAGCGTGGGGCTGTCCACGACGCTGAACACGATGCGGCCAGCCTGGCCGCACAGCACAAGCGGCGCGGTGACGCGCAGCTTGCTTGGGAGAGTACCTCCGTTGCCGAACCTGTAGACCTCGTCCTCCGGCTCTTTGAGGATCTGGTTGGCAAGCCCCATCCTCGTGAGGATGTTCTTGTAGTTGTCGTACCATTTCTTGCCCGAGACGCAGAAAGGCATTCGGTGTCGACCACGCCAGCGCCTTCGTCCGCGGGCTTGTCGCTGCCGATCGCAACGTTCACGTTCGGCAGGTGGTGAATGAGCCGCTCCGAGACGCAAGCCTCTGGCGGCGGCGTGACTGGTCCCTGCGGATGCAGTGCCATCTCCTCGTCCGCGAACTGGACCTGCTCTGTGATGTGAGCCTGGCGCTGAGGTTGGCCTCCGCGACCTCCTCGTCCACCGCCCTTTGACTTGCCGTCCTTGGGCGCGAACTTGCGAGCACCTGGCGTGGGGCACTCCTTGCCCCCTGTCCAGTGCCCGGTCTCGCCGCAGTCCCAGCAAGACGAGTTCCTCTGGCGCTGGTCGACCCGGCTCTGTAGCTTGGTCGGGCGGCGGGACGGTGCGGACCTCGCCTTGCTGCGGCTCTTGAGGGCCTCCCAGGCCGATCTGATGGTGGCCATGGCCTCGGGAATAGCGGCGAGTTCCGCTGCGGCAGCTTCGACCTTGGCGGTGTCGTCGCCGTCGAACAGCTCGGAGACATCCACGTTGGAGGACTCGAGCTTGGCGCTGAAAGCCTCGAGCTCCTGGCGAACAATGTCCTGCGTCGGCTTCGTCCTCGTCGTCCTCCTCTGGCTCTTCGTCGTTCTCGTCGTCCGGCTCGTCGACGACGTTGGTGGAGCGCCCCCCGCGGCTGGGGGAAACGTTGCAGCGCCAGCCGCCAGGTGAGCGCGACTGGTTGTTCCATGACCTCGGCGGGGGAGCGCGGCGCTCCGACGTATGGATGTCCGGGAACATCCTGACCAGCAGCCCGCGGATGCGCTGGTAGCCGTAGTGCTCATCGGGCAAGTTGCCCACGACGCGCTCGCGGCGTTCGGCCGTGAGCCCGGCCTTGCGCGGCAGAAACCATCCCGCCGCGTCGTCCAGCGCGTTGAGGTCCACCTCGTTCTCGCGTGGCTGCTGGGGTCCGATCTCGAAGCGGATGAGCCAGTCCGTCATGCGTTCACCTCTGCGTCGGTGATGTTGAGTCGACTCGAAAAATTTCTGGAGGGTCTCGCCCGTTTGCACGGGCTTCTGCTGACCCGGGCGCGCCGCCAGGTGGCGTAGCACATTCTAGATGCCGACCTGGTTTCTGTTGCGCTTCCTGTCGTCGGCGCCTTCGATGTCCGCCGCGGCTGCAGGATGCAGCTGTGCCTCCGTCATACTGAGTGCTGCGCTCCTGGCAGTCCCGCTGAGCTTCAGCGCGAGCTTCGATGCGAGGCTGTGCGCCGCGGCGAGGTTTTCATTAAGCTTCCAGAGCTTGACTTCCTGCTTGTATCTCCACTTTGATGGGTCGCCGTTCCAGGTGGGGATGACGCTGTAGGCGTAGTTGTCCGTCATCTTGTCGATGATGAAGTAGTAGGCCGCGTCGCTGACACTGGCGTAGAAGGAGTAGCTGGCGTCGCTGACGCCGTCGTAAGAGAAGTAGCTAGCGTCGCTGACACTGGCGTGGGAGAAGTAGCTAGCGTTGCTGACACTGGCGTAGGAAGAGAAATCAGGGTAGGCGTAGTAGCTGGCGTCGCTGACGCTGGCGTTGGAGAAGTAGGCGTTGAAAGCGTAGGTGCTGGCGTCGCTGACGCTGGCGTTGGAGTTGGCACGGGGGGCGTTGATGCTGGCGTCGCTGACGCTGGCATTGGAGAGGTAGGCGTTGATGCTGGCGTCGCTGACGCTTTGCGTGCTGCACAGCAGCTGGGTGATGATCACCAGGAAGACGCTGGTCTTCGATTCCAATATGTATCGATGGGTCGCAGACGCCGTCGTTGCTATATGGACGGCGCCGCGGGCTGGGATAGCGAGCGTCGCTACAAGCTACCACTGTGATGTGGAAAATTATCGCTGATAATGCTCTCTCTCGCTCTGCGCGGCAGAGGTCGTAGATCTAAGGCCAAGGGCCCGACATGTTTTGAAACCGATACGGCCGCGGGAGATGAGGCAAGAGCAAGCAACCGCAGCAGCAATCTCTCTGGAGCGAGCAGAAGCGAGGCGGAATCGGGGATTAGGAGCGAGGGAACCGCTAGGAATCACACCCAGCGCCATGTCTGGATCCGCTGGGATTTTTTTTAATCTTATCCATGGAGAGGTCCAGGGGCCAATTTCTGAGGGGGTCCCTTGGCCCCCCCCAGGTGTCCAAAGTCTTGCGCGAAACTCAGGACGGATTTTTTCGCGATGTCTGGCGCCTGGGGGCTCGGGCTCCGGGGCAATCAAAAACAACTCCAGGAAGGACAACTGCTTCTGGTGAAGGGGTCGAGAGGTCCAGTGGCCATTCAGTTAAAACAATCATGGCGTCGGAGGTCTGAACCTCCTCAGAGATGGGGTGGTGGTGGTGGTGGTGGTAGTGGTGGTTTTGGTGGTGGTGGTGGTTGTCGTCGTCGTCGAACGTCGGATGAAGCGTTTCGCTGTTCTCGCGGACGGAGGGGCGGGATGGGTGGCTCGAGTACCATTTACGCCACCGGCCGCCCCAACCCGAAGAGGGTGAAAGGAGAAAAAAAGGGAAAGGCGGGCAAAACCATTTCCGAGTTTCTTAATAAGCGTCGGGGGGGCGTCACCCCCGCCGACAGCCCCGCATCGACCCCCGTCGCGGGCAGCCACCGCGTGTTGAAGGCGCTCCGACCCCCGTCGTGGCGCGACGACGAGGCGAGGTTGACCCCCGTCGGGGGGGTCCCCCCCCACGCTTATTAGGAAACCCAGGGTAGACGAGAAGATCGCTCCAGGCCTGCCTCGCCGCTTCCAGGTCGTCCAGTGCACGCTCGAGCCCGCGAAATCCGAACAAACTGGCATCAGACCGGCCCGGCGTGCGCGCTCGTTCGCGAAAGCGAGGGGACCCCCCCCTCCCCATCCTGCCATCCAGGGGGGGTGCGAAGTCCCTGGAGACGGGACGGGGTGGGCACAGGTTAGCACCATGGCCGACCCACCGCCAGCGGATGCATCAGAGCTGCTGATCACATCTGACCGCCTGGGCCGACCCGTTCGTGGATCCAGCACCACTTTTCGTATCCTTTGCCCACCTCCTCTCGTGCGCAGCATGCTCTCCCTGCTCCCGCTCCTCCCGCTGTCGCCATGGCAGCTCAGGAGGGGAGAAAACACACAGACACAATTAATCGGCGATTCCCAGAAAATATGGGAAAATATGGGAAGTGGGGGGGAAGACAAAAGTTCAGAAAATGTAGGAAAATGTGGGGGATATTTTCATTTGTGTGTACTTTTTGTGTGTCCCAGTTCCCCTTCAGCAGCGTGCGGCGCGCGGACCCTCCCGGGGACCCGCCCGGACCTCTCGTCGCCGCGCGGCGGTCCGTGCGTGGCGCCGCCCCCCCCCACGCCTCCCGCGCGGGCGCCCGTGCTCCGCGCGCCGGGCCGCTGCCCAG